GTGATCCTGGAGTTGGATAGCTTTGCGGTTGAAGTTCAATTGCCAATTGTACTTGATTGATGAACCCTCGAAACTTTGATCTCGTACCATCAAATTTCTCAGGTAAGGCAATTCTTGGTTCTCTAGTGCTTATAGGGTGTTGTACAATTGGAGAAGGAACGTGATTTGTTGTAGATGTTGAAGCAGCTCCGATCATCTCTATATCTCCACTTTCTGCTATTCTTGTTCTTTCCTGTGTTGGTGAATTGAGTTGATGCATCGCAAGCATTAACTCCCTCATTTGCTCTTGCATTTGTGCCATTGCACTCTTCATTTCAACAAGCTCTGCCATAATGACACTAAGAAGAAAAATTTGTTTGATATTGCTCAAGACAAAAGAAAAGAAAGACTTGATAACAAAGAAGATACTAAGAACAATATCAGTTTAGAAGTGGGTAATCCGCAAACTTCTAATATGCTTATGTCTTGTCAAGAGAAAGGGGTAATCCACTCTTACTCAAGAAAAAACAAAGCTCTGATATTGTAAGTGTACTCTTGTCAATCTGTCAAGGACAAAGACTCGATGAGGAAAAATATACACCAAAAGGCTATCTCGATATAATAAGTCAAAATATAAACAAGTAGGTATATTAAAAGGAAACTGGAATGGCTATTGCCACAAGAAACTAAAGACTCTTGAACCTGGACTAGAAGCAAGAAAGGAGTTGACAAGAATGAAGAAGCCTTCACTCTTGTCTCTATATATACTATCTAACTAGGGGCTACGTGGCGACGTTCTATAGGACCTCCAATATGTGTTGACTTTGTAGGACACATGCCTTGACTTACAAGGCAAGTTTTTCTACGTGTGGGCCACATAATTAGCTTGATCTTCAAGCTAACAACATGTGTGGCACATGGCCAACTTGTTGACCACGTTTCTAATCCAAAAAGTCAATTAAAGACACCTATGAAGTCAAAGCAGCGTCTATGAAGTTTCTAGAAAGCTTCTATATTAAATATTATAGAATTAACTTACTTTTATCTACTTTTACTTACTTCTACCTATTTCTATATGTAATTATTAGCTTACATGATTATGGCCGTGACATTATTGTAGTCTACAGTAAATATTATGGAGAGTGTTGACTACATTTAATGATCTCAATACAATCAACAAATGAATTCAAAAGTTATCCTTTCTTCTCACTTTTTTTATATTATATATCTTTGTATTCAAATACAATATTTAAAAACATTAATTGATAGGTTCTATTTAATCACTATTCTAATTCATCAGTATGCACATTGTTCCATAAACTATTCTGTTGAGAAATATTTATATCATATTAATGCAATGGTATTTGAATCAGGTAAAGAAATGAATTCTTTATATAAGTTCTTTGGTGGATTTATTATATTATCTAAATAAAGAAAAATATCTGAAATAATAATAAAAAGATATCATGTTGTAAATAAATTCTCTTATTGTATGTATGTATGTATGTATGTATATATATATATATATATTAATACTTAGTTCCAATAATATTAGATATTCACAATTAAACTACATCAAATTTTAATTTTTAATTATTTTAATTGGAATCTTAAATTGATTAATAAAATATGAGTTTTTAATAGAAAAATCAAAATATTTTAAGTATTTATTGGTTTTATTTTATTTATCTAAGAAACATTGAAAAAGAAACAACACCAAAAAAAGTGCTCAACATGAATGAAACTATTTTTATGAAATATGTACCACAAAAAAGAATCATGTAAAAACAAGTTTTTCTTTCTGTTTTCATGAGGATATTTTTCTAGAAATAACTAAGAAAATCAAATAAAAAGCCTTCATGTTTAAATACCTTTATGTACACAGATTTTAAGGTATTCAGTTTTCTACAATACACTCAATAAATAAATAAATAAATAAATAAATAATGCAGAACATGCAAAAAATTAATCAACATTCCTAATTTTGAAATGTATTAACACCTTTCAGTATTTTTTCACACACATAAAAAAAAAAATCATTATTAAGCAATACATGGAGATTACACTTTTTAAATTTTATTTTTGTTGCATGTTTTATTATTTGATACATGCTCTCAAAAGTAATACTTATAATTTTATGATGTGGTCCTTATTGCTACAATCTGTGTGTATATATATGTGTGTATGCATCAGCCATTTTGGCTAAACTTATTGTTTATAATATTATATTTATTACTGGTTCATAAATATTTAGATGTTTCACCTGAATGTACAGTAAAACTACCAATGCTTTGAGTATTACATGTTATGTACTGTTATGGAATTTAATGATTTAATTTCATTTTCTAACAAAAATATAATATTTATTGCAATTCATACATTACAAACCATACAACAAGGTAAAACAAAAATCTCGTCTATAAAAAGCATCTTTCAGTAAAATAATATCTTGATTTTTATTGGTGTTTGTATACTCTCTTTTTTATCTAGAATTTTGAAAACATGTCCATAATTTATAACATATAATTGTAGAAAAATAAACAGTTTACAATTTATAAGTTATAATCTAAATTCATGTTTATAAAGAAAGTACCTTTTATACTAAAGATTTGGCATGTTTACTTAAAAGTAGAAATGTATTGTTCACTTGCAGAACCAAATGTTTCCAGGAATTTTAAATGTATGTGAAGTGCTATTGCAAAAATAAAATAAAATAAAATGGTAAAGGAAAAAATGAAGAAGAGGTTCATATTGGAATATTCATAAATTCTATATATTATAGCTGTATCCTCATTTCAACATCCTAGAAAATGAATGAATGTTTCAATACAGAGTCCATGTTTTTGATAGTATTCCGAATGACCACAGGAGTGACTAAAACTTTATTTATTTATTTATTTTAATCAAATAAACATGACATGAACAAGTTTTCACTGGTTCAAATAATAAAGTCACAATACATTCTTTTATAAAATTATAAAATTTAACTCTTGTATTGGATTTATTTAACTATTCTTCTCTTAATTTCATCATTTTCTTGTAGTTTATTCTGAAAAGGCATTTTGCAAAACTCGTACTTGTACACAAACAAAAAAAAAAAAAAAAAAACAAAACAAAACAAAACAAAACAAGACAAAATAACTACGGAATAATTGTAGAAAAATAAACTGTAAGACCTAGTATATGTCCAAATTCCAATCATGTTTCTACTAATAAAATGTATTAATCAGTTAATTAAGATGAGGTATTTTTTTAATTCCTTTGCTTTGAGTGATCTTTCCACTGATTAAACACAAACTGTAAACAACAAGTCATTATTCAAATAATTATTGTAATTCAATGTAATCTTTGTGATAAAATTTACATGGAGATCAACTTTCAGTTACATGACTATTTTTGATCATGCCATCACAATTTATCATCCACATGGTATCACAATTTTTGCAACTGCCACCACCACAACTCATTTTTAATAACTCGTAATTATATTTTGTTAAAATTGAATTCACTTTCTGTATATATATTAGGAATCATTCTAAGAATATCAACATTTTTTTTATTGAGTAAAAAAAAACTATACAAATATGTCTAGTGAGTCGCTTCCTCCACCCGTTTGGAGGTTTGTGATATGAAATTCTGGATTCTTATTAGCCAACGGTGTCGGATTTGAACATGCGCACTCGTTTATCACTTTCAAGAGCATCGAATCCCCAGACCACTCGAGTCTGCAAACAGTGCCTGCGACCCACATCCCGACTGATTTCATTGGCTTTATCCTCCACTGTATCATTTTTGGCAGTTCGCACATTATGATTAAACAAGTTGTGAGATTCTTTTGGATATGAAATCAAGTAGTGAGAAAAATCCCCTGAAACATCTGATTTCGCAACGATACAACTAACCGCTTTGGTTCCACAAGAGACTGTGGGGAGGCAAGGTGTTGGATTTGATATTAACCTGGAAACTTTAACGGCAAACTGGACCCACATACACACGACATTACAGACACGAAACACTGTTTATCTGAAAACATGTGAGTTACTTAGAAACGCAAGTCGTTTTGCCTGAGAGCCTCTCCGACGGTGGGCAACATTTTACTTCAATAGCTCACATTACGGCATGGAAATTAGTGCCGTGGAAAATCTCTACTCATGAGTGCACCAAAGCTTCATTGTCCCCTTCTTCTGAGTTGTGGATTGACAGTAAAGCTGACGGAGGCAGTAAGTAGTAGGGAGCAGTAGTCTTAGGATTCCGCGTTAAGTGGTGGACGTGGGAGTCGGTCGTAATGTCGGGTATTAATGGATATTGGAGGGTATCATCCTTGGAGGCGGATACGACGTGACGTTGGTACCACAGTGGAATGATTCTTTGGTGGATGGGCCACTTGCCGAGCTTTGGCTATGGCGACTTCTCCTGACCACGCGAAGCTTGTCGGGAAGAAGAGCGTGAACGTGGGAGAGACTGAGACATCGTCCCCGCGGGTGAGTGAGTATTGAAGCGGTCGATGTCGCTGGTGTTGCTTGTCTGCGTCCTTCAATTTCACAGATTCCTGCGGTTTCCCGAAGCTTTTCGCGGTGAAATCAGACAGTGAATAGTCGAAGTTGGTTGATCTTTTTAAAAAAATTTCCCCCTTTTTTTTCTTTCTTCGATAGCTTTCTGCGTAGTTTGGTGTGCACGGTGTTCGGAGGTAAATCAAGGGTTTCCCGAAGCAGTCTTGTACAGTGCAAACGTAGGACGGGCCTTAAAGCGGGCTGGCGCGACGGTGCTCTGGTTTTTTGTTTCTGGAAATCGAAAAGAGCTTTAGTCTACTAAGACTTTGGTCCTTTTTTATTTTTTTATTTTTACATAAATTTGTGGCGAAGGGTTGTTAATGTCGGTGGATGTTGTTGAGGGAGAGGACGTGGCTTGGGCTGTGAGTTAGGAGCGTCTTTGGATTTGGTTGTCAGGGTGTCGAGTAGTGCGAGGGGCGGCATTTGTGTGGGCTGTGAGTTTTCTCTCTGCTTCAACATAATTTGTAAGTAGCTCCTTGGCGCGGTACCCTTGCCTTTAGTGGTGCTAGGTTTTGATGACTCAGGTGTCGTAAGAGAGTAGGGGGTTGGGAAAAGGGGTTCTGTTAGTGAGATACACAGTTTGTGAGTTTTTTCGAGGTTGTATTGTTTTACTCTCTTACATTTTTCCGTGGGGGTGAGAACCGTGGAGGTTTTAGAATTTTGTGGTGTCGCAACTAATCCCTACCCGAGGACAGAAGCTTAGTGGAATTGTTTGACTGCAGACGTTAATTGTCAGCCTGCATTCTTTCTATTACTGTTAGACGATGGAAGTACCTAGGTGCTCATGGCACTTCCGAATTTGTGAAGAAATTGAGGAGCAATTTCTTTGATTTAGATCACCACATACAGACTCTTTGAACGCGTTACAGTTTCTTATTCTTGTGCATCCTAGCACGGTGCGTGCACCAAGATCATAACCATACTTGAGTAGATATTTTTGACTATTTTTGTGCCACATGCATGAAGGCAGTTGATGGCTCATCATCAAGCTTGCAGAGATTCTCCATTTGCAAGCTATAGGTTCAGTCTATTTTTCAGCGCTCTTGCAGGTTAATCTACTCTGCGGCCAGCTTGTTTTAGTAATGACTTTAGCTCCCTAGTGTAGCGTGAGGGCTAGTAAGTAGGCACTGACCACTGTTATTGTTAGAAGAGTTACCATTTCTGACCATTTTCTAGCGATATGAAGCAGGAAAACACTGTCTGTTCGCTTGTTTTACGAATGAAAACTATTTGATGTCTTCTCTTCCTTTGTCGCATAAGTCGAGTAGGCATGCGCTAATTGTTCGATTTTGTACATGGTCGTGCGGGTTTGTACATATACTTGGCGAATATATTATTACTGTACGGAATCTCTGCGACTTTTTGCATTCAGTGCAGTCAGTAATTGAGTTTAGTTTTCAAATATGGGTAGGAATCCTTTTTATTTTATTTTAGTATCAGCCCATGAATACACTAATGTTCTACGAGGTTAGTGCAAACGGCGTTTTTATTTATGATTTACTACCTTAAAGCCCTTCCTCCTAGGGCAACCAGTCGTATTCGTGATCAACATATTTATTCGTCGTTTTGAAGGTACTGGAATAACAGTATTTACAGGCTGTACGGAATGAAGCAGATAGTTGAATGATATTTGGAAAGTGTAGCTCAGTCTTTGTTATAAATAAACACTAAATCACTCATAATCAAGACTGAGCTACACTTTCCTGATCAGCTGTACCCGTGCGGGTGGTAGGTTATTGCAGACCTTGCCCCTCCGTTAAGGTGATTTTAGTTGCTCGTTATGCGTCTTGTTGTTCTATGATGCCATCAGCAGCCACGTCTGTTACCTTCGAAGAGGCTGAGGTCTCAATTCCGTGCAGTTTTTCTGTTGGTCAGGTCCTCTTTTCGTTGCGAGTACTTCATTTGAGATGTTCTTTTGTTGATATGAATACTTCCTTATTGTACTAACATTCTGAGCAGTTCTACACTTGCAGGAGGTCACATGAGAGATTGCACGTGGATCACACTGCACAGTTTCAAGATTCGGGCGAAGCCATTTTCTTGACGACCAGCTTGTGCAAGGGAGAAATAAACGTAGTACAAGCTCTGTTCCTGGAACCTCCTTGAGTTCAGTTTCCGCGAGTATGAGTGTGCAGTATCGACCGGAGCTGGGTACTATGGTTCTAACACCTGGATATCCACCAGGCAAAGAAAGAGAGTATTTGTCAGACACTGCTAATAGTCAACAGACACCCAGCTATTATGGTGCGCAGAAGTCTTATGCGGATGGTCAAAGGCAGAGTGCATATGGTATGAAAAACAAAAGTCACAGTTCGCCTGTATCTCCCCTATCTCCGCAAGATTCATCTCAGGCCGCTTCGGATAATGGACAAAGGATGTCTGCAGGCTGGAGCTCTGCATCTTATCAGAGCGAATCCTCCTCTCATAGTGATGGTTCTTTAGAGGGTCCTGGAAAACTGGAAGAGGCAGACTATTATGGACGCCAACATCGTCATGGTGAGCAGTTAACTGGGTCAGTAGCATATCATAATACGCCGTCTTCTGTTTTGAGACCCATGGGATATCCAGCTGAAACTGCTCAGGCTTATCAAATGCCTAACTATCAGCAGGCCGTACGATATATACCAGAGGAGCAATATGCCCAGTCTCAGAGCAATTATGCGCAGAGGAACCCAGAAATGGCACATATGCTGCAAGTTCTGGAGAGCGCGCTTTTGGATGACGACGATGGTGCAGATTTGCCAGGATCTCTTGGGAATGGACATGATCCTGCATCAGAAGGGAACTGGGCAGACACGATTGAGGAGTTTATGGCTGCCGATGCCTCGCCAGCTGATTCATCCACTGTAACGTCAGCTACCACTCCACCTGAATATGGGAAGCAGTGTCGCAACGGGAGTACAAACAACTATACTGGAGCCGTCACTGCTAGAGTAAGCCTCAGTATTCCTTCTCTTTGTAGACTGCGCCTATGTTGCAATTTCTGAGCCAATATTTGATGAAGGGCCTTGTTTCCTCTCCGTGTAGCTCCAGTTCTTAAGAAAAGTACGCTTTTGTTCCGAGCCTTACGGCAAGTAGCCTCTATATTGTTAGCGTACGAGAAAGGGGACCAGACTTACTGTTTCGGACAAGGGAAAACTTCTAACCCTGACCGAAAATGATTCTTTTGTGCAGGTGGAAGAACCACCTCCTCAAAAATTGGTTGTGGGAACAAGGAGTAGATCAGAACAGCTGCTTGTAGCTTGCGCTGAAGCTCTCTCAAATAATGATATGCCGTTAGCGAACGTACTAATCGCTCAACTCAATCAAGTGGTTTCCATATATGGTGATCCAATGCAGCGTTTGGCTGCTTATATGGTCGAGGGTCTTGTGGCTCGGGTCGCTGCCTCAGGAAAAGGCATTTATAGATCACTGAAGTGTAAAGATCCTCCGACCAGAGACCTACTTTCAGCAATGCAGATTCTGTACGAAGTCTGTCCATACTTTAAATTTGGGTACATGGCAGCTAATGGATCCATCGCTGAAGCTTTTCAAAATGAATCTCGGGTTCATATCATCGACTTTCAAATAGCTCAAGGCACACAATGGACAACTCTTATTCAAGCCTTGGCTGCTCGACCAGGGGGTCCACCTCACTTGCGAATCACTGGTATCGATGATCCTATGCCTGGACCGAATTCGAATGCAGGTGTTGAGATGGTTGGGAAGCGGCTTGCTAAACTAGCGGAAGCTGTTGGAGTTCCCTTCGACTTCCATCCTGTAGCGAAGAAAGGGCCAGAGGTAGAAGCATGGATGCTGGAGCGGCAGCCGGGGGAAGCTCTTGCAGTCAATTTCGCCCTACATCTCCACCATATGCCTGACGAGAGTGTCTGCACAAGCAATCCTCGGGATCGTATACTGCATATGGTCAAAGCCCTCAACCCCAAAGTTGTGACCCTTGTCGAGCAGGAGTCTAATACTAACACTGCTCCATTCTTTCCACGCTTTTTGGAAGCTATGAATTACTACGCTGCAATATTTGAGTCTCTGGACATTACCTTGGCCCGTGAGAGCAAGGAGCGTGTGAATGTTGAGCAACAATGTTTAGCTCGCGATATCGTCAACATCATTGCTTGTGAAGGTATTGATAGAGTTGAAAGGCATGAGATGATGGGGAAATGGCGCGCGCGCCTGACTATGGCTGGTTTTCGTCCGTATCCTTTAAGCCAAACAGTGAACAACACAATAAAGACATTGCTGGAGTCATATAGTGATAAGTATAGACTTAAAGACGAGGGCGGAGCACTTTATCTGGGCTGGAAGAATCGGTCCCTCATTGTTTCCTCTGCATGGCAGTAGATCTCGTCTGTTCTCACTGTATATATTCTTATAGTGTGGTTCAGCCTCGAGTTATCTGAGGACCTGTCTCATTTGGTAAGGCTAAATTTCGCTAGAATCCTATGAACTTGAGTAAATATCTGCTTTTGAATATCAGCATTGTGCATTATGAATTGACTGTTGGCTGCATGAAGATCTCTTGAGCTTGTGTAGTTTTTATGTCTCCTATCATCCCTTAATTTTCATCCTTAAGTTTTTATCCTCGCGGCTTAGTGTTTTGATATGCTCAAAAAGGGTTTCCGTGTCTCCTAATTGGAGTGTATTCTCGATTGATAAGTTTGACTCTGATCGCAATTTTAGTTTTCAGGTTCGCTCAGTCGTTTTCATAGAATCTCCTGAGATGTTGGAATGCTCTAATACTGCCTTGTCTAAGGCTGTTTGCCTCGTTTGGAGAGACTCTTAGTGATGCTTGTAAGTTAACTAATTCCCTATGAATGTGTAAGTTATGGTAATAACTAATCGATGTCGATGTATGACTGACTTGGTGAGGACCTTTCCGGAGAGGTTACAACGATCAATCTGAGAAGGCAGACTTCTTCGCTTATCAGAAGTCTACTGTATATACCTATGTTGTATCAATGCATCGGTGCATCCCGAATGTTAAGATGATTATCATTATTGGCATGTAAACCCTAAACTATCTCTTTTAACGAGTTTGAGGTGTTATAATTCTAGAATTGAGCCCATGTAGCATGGGAAGCACTGTAGGTGCACTTGCATACAAGCACTACCGTTGAAGCTTCGATTCGACACATTTATCCTTAGATTGAGGGAGTCATATGACTGAACTTAAGTGTGGACTCAACTGCTCTCAGAAGATTCTATGGAAACGGCTAAGCGAACCTGAAAACTAAAATTGCATAGACTCATCTAACTGGTAATTTCTTGTCCCACTGCGATTATTAACTTATACCCCCTGGCCAGTTGTAGTAGATGTTGTATTGAGATATTTGCGTGCAGGTATTGTGTTCGAGATAGCCTGAGCCACCTTTTCGAACATTAGGGTTTTGACAGTGGGACTGGCTGTCATACATGCTGTTACTTCCACAATAAGAGCGTCTCCAAGTTAAGTGCTCTCTACCAATAACTGACCTCCGGCATTTGATCTAGTGTTAAAACTGCAACTGCTCAATTAGGCTTCTAAGACGGAAGTTATTGAATCCTGTGGTTGTCACATTATGAAAACCTGCTCTTCATGAATCCGCACCGTTTGCTGTAGATGGATGTAAGCGAACAAGGACCTTTTCCACAAACATGAACTTGTGAATATTTCCATTTAATAGAGAGAAATACACAAACCGAGAGGTTTCATGCCCTTGTCCCCTTGAGAGTGATCTCGCCATATCAGTGGGTACCCACCATTCTCATTTAGAACAAACCTGTCACTAACTGAGGGAACTGGGTAGTACTGGGTTCGAGGCCCACTGGTTAGTATAAATAGCAGCTAGATTGAAGGATTATGGTGGCTAACAATAAACTAGGCAATCTCCTTTTCTTCTATTAAACTCGTAAATTCCACAACTGACAACTATTTTGTATTGTCTGCAGAGGTGATTTCGTAGAATTCATTGACATCAATATGTTAGAAGTATTCAGAGTGTCAAAAAAAAAAAAAAAAAATTAATGGTAGTTTTTTTTTTTTTTTTTTTTTTTTTTTTTTTCTTCTTCTTCTAGCATTCAATTTTAACATTTTGCATAAGGATCTTTATACCTAGAAGTCCATTTTTAAAGGATATGGTTTAAAAGCCTTACCAAAGTCCCTTACTTGGAGAAGAAAAATCTTCCATTACAAACTTTGGTCTTTGGATATAATATAAAAGGAGAAAATACCATAAAATGAACTAAAACATTCTTTTATTACAAGTGTAAATATTCCAATTCATATCTTGATTATAATAAATGTAAAAAACACAAAAAGCTGATTTTTAAATTTAATTTTTATGATTATTATTTGTAATTCGTAAGAGAGCTTCTTGATTTTTTCTAAAAACTATTGCTTGAAATGGATCCAGCAATAATAATGGAGGACAAGATTATTTTATGGTATATATGAAAAAAGTGCATTCCATCTCATTTTTTTTCTTAAGGCTTTCAGATTGATTTTTCTAAGTATATAGCTAAGTAAGTGAGACTTCTTCATTTCAACCAATAAAAAGATTTAAAAGTTGTGGTCTCTCAATCTTGTTTCCTATGTATAAAGACACACTTACCATCTTGATTTTGTATTAGTAAAATAAAATAATAATATATAGGAAGAGAAAATTAATTAATTAATTAATTATCAAAATAATCAAAGATATAATAATAATTTTAATCATATAATAATTAAAGATATATTAAGATTATTATTATTTTTTAAATAACTAATATATTTTAAAAAATATTAGATTTTTAAAAATCCAAATAAATTTAGAAAACTACTAAGTAGAAACCTCTCTTTTATTATGTGGACACCTTCTTATGCCATGCACCTCTACTTATATATAATAAAATATAAGTTAAAAATTCACAAACAAGTTTAAGGATAAATTTATAATAGATTTTAAAAAAAATTAAATTATTTTTAAAAAAAAAATAAATAAAAGAATCACATAAAATATATTATGAGATTTAATGTCATTCAATAAAAAAGGAAAAAAAAAATGCCACAAATCATTACATAAAAAACTTTTATTATTAACATATTCTAATTTTAAAAAAATATAAATAAGAATTTTATTATATGTATGCAAGGATGTGTGGCATATGGGGTTGTGGATGGAATAAAAGATGGATGTCTACTTAGTAGTTCCCTAAATCTATTAACATACTATTAAGATTAATAAATTCAATTGTTTAGTTAACCATATCAAATGTCACAAACATACATATTTACCTAGATTTAGAGGAATTAAGTAGAAATAAGTAGAAGTAAGTAAATTTGATAATATCTTATAGACAAGCTTTTTAAAAGCTTGATAGATACAGATGTGATTTTATATGCATTTATAGATGATTGCTAGATGAATAACTTAGTCAAGAAGTTGGCTTGTAAGTTGGCCAATTTATATGGAAACTTGTCTTGCAAGTTGGATACATGTAGAAGGTTTTATAGAACGTTGTTATATAGCTCTTAGTTAGATAGTATATATAGAGGTAAGAGTGAAGCCTTCTTCACTCTTATGAATACCTTTCTTTTTCTTAGTCTTGTTTCAAGTGTCTCTAGTCTTTTTAGCTTTGGCAATGACCATTATTATTTTAAAATTACACTATTTTAACTAAATATCTACTCTTTTTAATTTGTACAAGAGTATATTGTTGTTTTGATTGTTTGTGATTCATGTCCTTGACATTAACGTAATAAAAGTGTATTATGAAACTTTGAGTGATTTTACCATCAAATTGCCATAATATTAATAGCACCCTTATGCAATACTTAACAAATTTAGGTTAAGTAATTCTCTAATCTTATTTTCTACAACTATTGGATTCAATAAAAAAATAAACATGATATTGAATGAAATAAAATATCAATCAAATTTAGTAAATATTTTTTCTTTTTATCTTTTACAAGAAAAAATAAATACAAATGAGCTCCATTTTTTGAATTTATCCAATGAAAAAAATAAGCATAAAATATCTGCATAATATAAATAAATAAATGATTTTTTTTAATGAACACATAAAAACAATGGCAAGCCTGGATTAACTAACAAATTCAAACAGCTATTAGATAAGTCTATCCCAATTATTCTACCCCTCTAAAAAAAAAAAAAAACAAACAAACAAACAAACAAACAGATTCTTATGCTAGAACCTGTCACGGCCATAATGATGTAAGCTAATAATTACATATAGAAATAGGTAGAAGTAAGTAAAAGTAGATAAAAGTAAGTAAAAGTAGATAAAAGTAAGTTAATTCTATAATATTTAATATAGAAGCTTCCTAGAAACTTCCTAGATGCTACTTTGAATTCATAGGTGTCTTTAATTGACTTTTTGGATTAGAAACGTGGTCAACAAGTTGGCCATGTGCCACACATGTTGTTAGTTTAAAGATCAAGCTAACTATGTCGCCCACACATAGAAAAACTTGCCTTGTAAGTTAAGGTATGTGTCCTACAAAGTCAACGCATATTGGAGGTCCTATAGAACGTCGCCACGTAGCCCCTAGTTAGATAGTATATATAGAGACAAGAGTGAAGGCTTCTTCACTCTTGTCAACTCCTTTCTTTCTTCTAGTCCAGGTTCAAGAGTCTTTAGTTTCTTGTCTTGTGGCAATAGCCATTCCAGTTTCCTTTTAATATACCTACTTGTTTATATTTTGACTTATTATATCGAGATAGCCTTTTGGTGTATATTTTCCCTCATCGAGTCTTTGTCCTTGACAGATTGACAAGAGTACACTTACAATATCAGAGCTTTGTTTTTTTCTTAAGTAAGAGTGGATTACCCCTTTCTCTTGACAAGACATAAGCGTATTAGAAGTTTGCGGATTATGCACTTCTAAACTGATATTGTTCTTAATATCTTCTTTGTTATCAAGTCTTTCTTTTCTTTTGTCTTGAGCAATATCAAACAAATTTTTCTTCTTAGTGTCATTATGGCAGAGCTTGTTGAAATAAAGAGTGCAATGGCACAAATACAAGAGCAAATGAGGGAATTAATGCTTGCGATGCATCAACTCAATTCACCAACACAGGAAAGAACAAGAATAGCAGAAAGTGGAGATATAGAGATGATCGGAGCTACTTCAACATCTACAACAAATCACGTTCCTTCTCCAATTGTACAACACCCTATAAGCACTAGAGAACCAAGAATTACCTTACCTGAGAAATTTGATGGTATGAGATCAAAGTTTCGAGGATTCATCAATCAAGTACAATTGGCAATTGAACTTTAACCGCAAAGCTATTCAACTCCAGGATCACAAGTCAGGTTTATTGGCACTCTACTTTCTGGTTCTGCATTATTGTGGTTTTCGTCTTTTCTTGAACAACGAAATCCAATATTGGACAATTTGGAAGCTTTTTTGGCGGAGTTTCGATCTATGTATGGTGAATACGATGCAACTCGTGTTGCAACAAATAAGATCCAAATTCTGCGACAAAGAAATCGCTCAGTAACAATGCATGCTTCACAATTTT